CTTTTCGGAATGCTTTCCAATGCAATTGTTATAGTTTTCAATGGATTTTGGGTTTTTGTTGCATTGCAATCAACGTTGCCCGATACCGTTACACATTCACGTTAGCTTCGTTTTGCTACGTTTCGGTTTGGCTCGTTTCGTTTCGGTTCCGGGTTTTGGAGGCACACGAAGCGCGCCTGACGCTGCGAAATTTTATATTCCTGCTGTGTCGGCACTTAATTCTAGAATGAAACGGCAGCACGAGTCAAAGCTGCGCCATTGCCGTTGTCATAGAAAACAGATGCCACAGCCTCTCAGCCAGAGCTAGTTCCAGAGCCGGGGCCGGAGCCGGAGCCATATGCAGAGAGCGTGCGACAAATGAGAGCAGAGTCGACAGAGAGTGAGAGCCAGAACGCGCGTCCGAGAAAGAGAGCGAGAATGGCTATGTGTACGATGGTTGCTTTCGCACGACTAATGAATGGAGAGTGAATGTCGAGTATTACTGTGTACGCAGCATCCACATATTCGGCCCACTGTAAGCGTACCAAGGAATGTATGTTCTCTCTCTCACTCTCACCCTCTTCGATTCCGGGAGCGTGTGAAGTATGGCACGGCGTAGTGTCACCTCAATTGAGAGCAACCGTCGCATGAACAACAACAATAACAACTGCAGTTTGGTCAAAGCGGATGTGCGCACGCCTCCAGACCCGTGTGCGCTATGTGCTGGAATTTAACATATTTTGTGTGAGGAGAACAAGTGCAGTATGAGTTGAATGCTTAAATGGTATTGCAATAAAGAAATGAAAGCCATTGCTATTTGATACAGTTATTATTATTGTTGTCATTCAATTCTAGAAATTTTATATTGGCAATTTATTACGCTAACTTCTTAAGGCCAAATTAAACGGCGCGCTAAACTTAAGCGGCCTGAACACGATATCGATATATATATCGATAGTCTGCACGATATTTTATGGTATTTTTTGTGAGTTATTGTTGCAATTTCGGCAACGTATTGAAATATTAATACCAAAAATATTAAAATTATCAGTCTCAATGAATAGTCGACATGCCGCCACAGCGTATCGGTGATTATCGTGCGATTCTTCTGGACAATTTGACAAAAAATATTCCTACATGTATATATATGAACGTAAAATCAATTAAAAAATTTTCAAGTGCGTCGATGATTCGAAATCGCCCATTAAATTGTAAAAGTGTGGACCAACAATGAGCTCGCGAAGACCTGGTGCTGGGCCCACGCTTAACTTCAAAGCGGTGCTGCTGGGCGAAGGTGACTAAACCAACAATCGCAATTGTTTTTTTTTTTACATACATACGTACATATGTATGTATATATGTACACATATCTAATGTGCTGCGCATTTATAGGCTGTGTGGGCAAAACATCTCTTGTGCTGCGCTACATGGAGGATAAATTCAATACACAGCATCTCAGCACGCTGCAGGCGTCGTTTGTGACCAAAAAAGTGACGCTGCCAGATGAGAGACGCGCACAGCTCAACATATGGGACACGGCCGGTCAGGAACGATTTCATGCCTTAGGACCCATATACTATAGGGGATCGGATGGGGCACTGCTGGTGTATGATATCACCGATCAGGACTCGTTCCAGAAGGTCAAGTCATGGGTGCGCGAACTGAAGCAGATGCGCGGAAGCGAAATCGCTCTGATTATTGTGGGTAACAAGACTGACCTAGAGGAGCAGCGAGCCATCAGCTATGAGACGGCGCTGCGCTATGCGCAAACGGTGGGCGCACAGTACGTGGAAACGTCCGCCAAGGAGAACGACGGCGTCAACGAACTGTTCGAGCTGCTTACCCAACTGATGGTGGCCCATCATGGCAGTAAGCAGCAAAACGATACCAATGCATTGCGCCTACAAAACTCGATCTCGGAGGCCGGAGTCGAGCCGGATCTAGATGAGAATGTCCCCGCTGTCGCCGCCGCGCATCGCTCTTGCTGCGGCATCTAGACTGCCTGGCAGTCGTCCATTGTGATAATACATATGTACTAGTTAATCTAAAATCGATGTGTATTTGTAAATAGTACGTGTATGTATGTATGTACCCATTATACCATATAGAACCATGTGCGATCTGTGCTAGCATGCGACTGTAGGTATGATTCTGTTATTAGTTACCCGTTTTGAATAGCAAACACCCAAAAACTGTTCCAGTATTTTTTTTTTTTTTTTTTT